CCCCAATATTAATATGTTCCTGAGAAGGGCTGGTGACCCCCACGGGCAGGAAATGCCCTTCCCCAGATTTATGTTTGGTGGGAGGAGAGATTGGGTCGCGGTGAAAATGCCTGAAATTCAGATATTTAATTTTGCCTCTTTAAACGCTACTATTAACGCTGCCTTTATAAATGGTATGGTGTTCCTGCAGCTTTGGGGGTTCCCTTCGCCACACACAGCGGCCTCCAATAGTCTTCTCTTCGGCGCCTTCTTATTGCATCCCAGTTGAATCCCCCCTTCCCTACGGTGCAGTTCTTTATCTCTCTCTTTCTCCCCCCCCCCAATTGAATTTCCTTTCTCCTCATGGTAGCCGCATGGCACGCCTTGCCCCATAGGGTCCCGCCCACTCTGTCCCCCGGAGCTCCGCCCCCAGCCTTCCTCGCAAGAATATGCCGGCCCTATAGAGTCGTTCTCCTTGCGAAATCTCTCCTTTACGGCTCCCCCACTCCCCGCGAACTCGAGGCGAGTCTCTTCCTGCAAGAGATTTTTATGCACGTCTGACGCTGCCTTGTTGGTAGAGAGGAAGACTTTCCCACCACCTGCCATCCGAGATCCTTTCCCTGGAACTGACCCTGGGATGTTGTCTCCATGGAACATATGTGCCGTGGCTGCCCACAGATGCCCTAGCCCAGTGATGGCGAACCTTTTAGAGACCGAGTGCCCAAACTGCGACCCAAACCCCACTTATTTATCGCAAAGTGCCAACATGGCTATTTAACCTGAATACTGAGGTTTTACTTTAGAAAAAACAACTCATACATTAACTTAAGATGATCCAAACGAAGTAAGGAAAGCAATCCCAAATTCTTTCATTTACTTCAAATTATTTGGCAGAGAATTCAACACTTTAATGATGGTCTGGGCCTGGCTGCGGCGATGGCACGCGTGCCCACAGAGAGAGCTCTGAGTGCCACCTCTGGCACCCTTGCCATAGGTTTGCCACCACTGCCCTAGCCTCTTGGGTAGTTTCTCCCCCCACCCCTATCCCATGACTGTTGCCTCTAGGAATGCTTCCATTCCCCATAAGTGAACTCCCGTGCTTAGGGAGAATTGACTGTTTTAATCACAGAATCTTTTTTACTCCCTTTGAATTCCTGTCCTTGGCAGCCCCTACAAAGAGCCTTTCATGGTACACATCACCAAAAGAAGCTCATTCCATGCAAACCCCGGACACTTGATCAAATCCTGCTCTCCCACAGCGCCCTCAAGGCCATCTATTAGGTGCTCTCACCTCAGAATTAACAAGCACAGTCCCACAGCACTTCCCACCCTATCGTGGTGGTGGGGGGGGGGAAGCCTGTCTCGCCTGCAGCGCCTGGACTATTTCTCTGATCTTGCATAGTTTTTGTGTGCCCAACCCTAAGTTCAAACTCCAAAAAGTCCTTTCAGATACTATATCTTACCTTTGCAAAGCTTGGATGGTTGGGGATGGGGGAATTAGTCCTTGGGAAGAGTTTATCTGTGAGGAAAATGGTTACCCATAGGATTGTAGTGTTGTAAGCAGGGTGAGCGAGATTTGAGTTTTAGGATGGAAGGCATTGCTGTGCTACGGCCTCTGTAAGGGGCAGATGTTTGTGTGTGTATGGGGAGAGAATTTTCTGTGGGCTTGAAGGATGATTAGCTTTCAAATGGGTCATGTTGTGATGTGGTTGGGGAGGTGCTCTGGGGGTTGTTGGAAGGCCAAAGAGGGGGGAAGAAAATAGGGTGACTATCTTGAGCGGGTTCAACTTGTAAGCTGGGGTCAAATTTGGAAGAAAGCCTCAGTAGGTGAGGGTAGGAGACCTTGGAAGAAGGGGCTGGATTGGACTAGGGCACATAGAGGAACCTGTGTGGGGTTGCAGAGAATCATGGGGAGTTTACAAGGGTAGGAAATTAATCTGTCTCTGTCCCCAGTCCCTTTCACCACGTGGCTGAAGCATCCAGTGTTGGGACAGGGTACCCTCTTGACTATCACAGATTTCCCCATTGGGATAGTTTACAAGGGGTGAGTGAGTGGCTATACGTTTCTTCGGAGTCTTTAGTTAAATAAGCGGAAACAAAGCCAACAGGATTCATTTGGCAGTTTAAAGACGTAGCAGGGTTTTATTCCAACATAAACTTTTATGGACTGGTTCATAAAATCTTAGGCTGGAATAAACATTTTTTTAAAAAAGATGCCATTACACTCTGGTTAATATTTGCTGCAGCACACTAACAAGGCTGCTCCTCTGGAATTGGTTACAGGTATCCTTGGGGCTGGGAGGCAGATAGGTCTTTTTACCTTGATAGGTCTGCCCCCAAAGCCCATCTCATAACCACATTCAGAGACAGTTGCTGCTTTCCCTCGCTTGGGACAGTGTAGAGCTGGCTTTTGCCCCTTTGGGAAGGGGAGGGCGATCTGCCAGTATGCTATTTCCTCATATATGACTTAACATCAAATAAGGCTCCAAATATTTCTCAAGTATACAATACTATTCAATACACACACACACACACGCACACACACAATAGATAGGCTAGGGATTTAAAGCAATATCTACTATTTAACACTCCCAAAAGAAAGACTTCACAAATTCCAATTTCAGTGGACTGATCTTCAAATGTCCATGATGTTAAGTCATATACAATTTATATTTATTCATCTGTTTCCTTAAATTATTGTTAGTGTGTTATTTCCAGCAGATTGGATAAGGGGGATCCTGCCATTATGCTGTTGAGTTTGCTGGGTTCAGAAGTAGCATGTGATGCTGATCTCTGTCTTTACATTAGAAAATCTGATGAAAGGATTCAAAAAGGTCCTGTGTGAAAGTAAATGCACACATTTCAAATGACTATTGAAAGTAGGGGGAGTGACATTGAAAGGTTATGAACAGGGTAAGCAGAACATGGAGACTAAGTGGAATGGCCAGCTCCTTCTCTCACTGGGGGGCTATTTCCCCCCTAACTGAAAAGCTCCTACCTATCTTTTGTAGTAATAGACTCTAAATTCTTGTTTTTAGCATGGTCCTCCTGAGGTCTTGCTTAGTAGTCCTCAATGAAAATGATTTGTTAGCCCATCTGTTGACCCTACTTTTAATTCTTCATCTGGAGGGGAGGGGTGTAAGTGGCAGAGAGAATGTGCGCGCGCGTGCTGTCACTCTAGGGGTGAGCAGCTTGGCAGGACTCTCTGTAGCCTGGCATAGCAGCCTTGGAGGTATTCAGCTGACTTTTCTATTCCCGGCATGGGATTGTGATAATCCCATAAGAAGCCTTTTTTGGGACCGGAGGCGACCTTGTTTCATGTGTACTTGTGCTGAACTTGTCATGTTGGTGATGCGGCCATAATAGGGAGCGCCTGGATTATTGGAGGGGGCGGTATTTACACATGAGGGAGCTGCCAACAAAGGACCCCCCCCTTTCATCTGCCCCTGTTGCTATGGGAATCCCAAGAAATGGTACCCTCCAGTACCAAGCTCTGGAAAGATCTGATCTTTCACATAACCTGTGGCAAGCATGGTAGGAAGGAACTGCCTTTGACACCCCCAGCCTGCTTGGCAGTCTCGTCCCTGTGTCCTTGGGCACCTGCTGACTCCCCCCCCCCCCCCCACAACACCCAGTCTCCGGCTCAGTGCCCATTGAGCTTTGAATTGACCTTATTTCCCTTGTTACTCTCTCTCTCCTAGAATTTTGTAACCACGCTGGCTAATGGGATGAGCCTGCAGACTCCGCTAGAAGATGTAAATATCCTTTGAGTTCATGCGGGCTAGACTAGTGCCCAGCCCAGGGCGTGGGTGAGGCACTCTAGCCCTGGCCAAATTTGTTCTTGTTTTGTCACCATCTTGGCTCCATAAGCCCCTTTTGTTCTTTGCTTTTGTCCCTTGCTAAAAATGCTTCTGTGATTGCTCCCTGCTCTCATAGCTTGACTAGAACTGTCACCCTTCTCCATAGCCATTAGGGTTCTCCTGTCACTTATTATGGTGTAGATTGCAGCCATATTGTTTGTTCTCTCCCCCCTCCCCCATATTAGTTGAACTTCTTGACTGTTCCAGTTTGCTTTTTGAGCATCTTCTGGGCCACCTAAGTGTACTAACAAGAAATAGTTCCCTAATTCCTTGCCTGATACCCACTCCATCTGGTTGGCCAAATAATGCAAGATGTCAGGAATGGACTAAACTGTGCTTAAATGTGGAATTGAGATTTCTAATCTGCCCAAACTCAGTGTAGAATCAGATGACGATGGCTTATTTCGGATCATTCAGATGGCGTTAATATGATCTCTCTGCTTGTGCCCTTCCCAGGATTGGTTTCCCTCTGAAACTTAGGACTCCATAGGGCTTTAGTGCGAAACCCTGGGGGTTCTCTTTGGGGGGGATGGTGGGAGAAATATGCTTAGAGAGCGCATGAATGAAATTTTGGTGGATGTCTCTGGAACCTCTTGTGGAGCAGGTGGGAGAGTGAGAGACGAAGATGGGGAACCAGTTTGGATATTGGTAATATCCAGGGGGATGGGGTGGCTACTGGGGTTGCCATCAGGCCTGGAGGAAAATTTCCTGTCTTTTTAATAGAGGCTTACTGTATGGAAATGAACTGCTGAAATTTCTCAAGGCATGGAGGTAAAAAAACATGCGATTAAGGGGCCGGGACATTTTTTTTCTCCAGGTCTGTTGGCAACCTTAGTGGCTCCAGACAGCCCAGGGACTTCTTTCTGCCCACAGCTTCCATTTCCGGTGTGCTGTACGCTCGATGCTGCAGTGCTTCACGAGCCATCTCCGCTCCTAGTACATTTCCCAATTTCAGTATGCAATCCTCCAAACTGCAATCAGAATCAAGAGTACAAAATTAAAGTGAATTTTTTCTGTAACTCAAAGAGATTGCATATTTTTCTGCCTGAAAAGTGTGGGGAAGTTGGTTCCACTGAAATCTAGGTGTTTCCCCACCTCCCTTGTATTAAATGATTGCAACTGTGAGGGGGCTGATTGCATATGTGTCCATGAGAAACAAGTGTATGGTGGGGTGGTTGAGGTTGCTGGACTAGGTAAGGACGGTGGTGGGTGGCCAGCCGAGGGCTGGGGGCTGAGGAGTTGGTGACACTGGGTTGTAATCAGTTGACTCTTTCCTTAACTATCCTTCAGCCCCCCACTCCTGGGGACAGGCAGGGGGTAGAGCAGCGCAGGAGGTAGGCCTACTCCCGCAAAGCCTGCCCCCTTTCCCTGGTGGTGGGGTGAGAGTAATAGGAGTGCAGAGCTAATGCTGTTAGCTGGATTCACAGAGCTGAGACTAATAATTATTCATGATTATCGTATGGCATTGTGTGTAGTATAGCCAGGAGATCCTAAGATTGTCTGGCAGCCAGAAGTTCTAGCTCTCTTAGTGTTATACATCATTAGGTGGCAAGCTAAACAAGGCAAGAGATGTTTCAGAGGTGGTTTGCCATTGCCTATCTCTGCATCACAACCCTGATGTTCCTTGGAGGTCACAATTCCAAATACTAGCCAAGGCCAACCCTTCTTAGCTTCCGAGATCTGATGAGATCGGGCTAGCCTGGGCTATCCAGGTCAGGGCTAGAGCTGAGACAAACAAGCTTTGATGTGTATCAGCAGGGGAATAACTTCCTTTCCAGCCACTGGTGGTGGAAGATTTGAACCCCAGTTTTGTATGTTCAAAAAATACACTACTCAGTCACACTTGATGATTAAGGATCTTGTCTGCATGTGGCGCAGAATGGGGTTGTAGAGTAGACTCTTACTGCTTTGTTCTGTGGGGTGTGTCCAACGCTTAATGCTCCCCTGTGTAAAACGTCTTGCAAATTGGCGATGGGGAGAATTGGTACATTGGGGAGGAAGCCTAACCCTTCATGAGCTGTGCCAGTTTCCCATTGACAGGATGTGATTAATGCTGGGGGGTCTCTGATAACTGTGGTCCCTCACCTGCAACATGAAGGCATAGGTAGGCCTGACTGCCTCCTCGTTCTGCTGCATGTCTAGACCAAGCTTTGGGCTCTTAAGACTCAGCAGGCCTCCAAGCTACTTGTGGGTAGGGGTATGCAAAAAAAAAAAAAATTCGGCCCATTCGGATTCTGCCGAATCAGGCAGAATCAATTTCGGCTGGCAGTAAGACTCCTGCATGTCAGTTTTGTCAGTACAAGCCAAATCTGGAGTCTTTCCACCAGCCCAATGTCAATTTCAGCCCCATTATATCCTATGGGCCATTGAAGCCAATGGCGAAAACATAGGGTATATTCTGGGGGCTGGAGGGGAGGGGGTGTGAGGGAGAGACTCCAAACTCGCAAGGTAGCTGCTGGAGCCTCTCCCCAAGATCCCCGCCATGTTTCAGGAACATTGAACCATGGGGTCTAATTCTACGGGCCCCCAAACAGGCTGCCCCTATCCCCTCCATTGTTCTCTATGGTGGGAAAAAAGTTACTTTTCCCCCACCATAGAGAACAATGAAGGGGATAGGGGCAACCTGTTTGGGGGCCCGTACAATTGGACCCCCTGATCCAATGTTCTCGCTCAAATAATGGGGCCGAATTGCTGCGGAAATTCGGCGGCAGTTTGGTGGCAAGCCGATTCAGATCAGAGAATCTGAATTGGCTTGCAACAGCCCGAAAGGGGCCCGAATGGGCCATTTTCAGGGGTGCATTCGGTTCTGATGAACCAAATACACATCCCTACTTGTGGGACTGAGAGCAGCGGGTCCAGGAGGCTCTCCCAGGTATAGAGTTGAGAGAGAAAGCATTTCCCTTTCAAGCATTCCCAACGCACTGTTGTATTTAAAGGTCACTGTAAGGATCACCGTGTATGGGAAGTGCTTTGAACATTCTGTGAATTCTAGTTGTGATAAAGAATCCCAGCTGGTAAGACCTGGTCTGAATTGAAAAAGTCCTGCAACCTTGAATCCATCTTAAAATTTGAGAGTTTTTAAAAACTTTGTGTGGGGCTGGCTTTCAAAAAAAAGAGGAAATTTTACAGGTTCCCACAACTTTTTTATAAACACTTCTTCCGTTCCTGATTTCAGCACTTACAAAAGATGCGGAAGTGGATTTTTGGAAGAAGGGACAGTTAATAGGCTTATCAGCAAACATGCCTCTTGGCGTATTTGTGGATAGGAGGCTCAGGAGGGCTGGCTTGATCTTGGAGTTCACGGTCACAGCGGAAGCCTCTCTGCTTCCTCTCCCTGCAGATCTGATGAAGTAGGCTCTAGTTCTTGGAAGTTTGAGCCAGAATAAAGCCCTTTTAGTCTTCAAAGTGCCACAAAGCCCCCTTTTTGTTAATACAGACACAGGTGCATGGGCGTAATGCACTCGTGATGGCTTGTGCATTGGTCTTGACACAAGTTGAATTTTTCAAGCACTCACAGGGGGCTGCAGCTGTTACATCGACCAGAATGAGGCTTTGTTAGTCTTTCAAGAAAAGGCTGGCAAAAGTAGAGTAGACCTTTCTATGGTCTTGAAGCTAGTCTTGGTCGAGGAAGCCCTTCAAGCAGGGCCTACAGCTCGGCAGTAGGGCAGAACCCCATGCTGTGCTTGTCAGAGTTGCTGGATTCAGGCCCTTTTGTCTCCGGTTTAAAGGGATCAGAGCCCACACGACCGACAGAGACTTTGGTGACCTTGGAGTGCTGTTGCCATCCAGAGTAGACATCGCTGGGCGAGATGTGCCAGTGAGCCAAGATGGGCTTCATATCCACAAGCATGTGGGTTCACCCTTCCATCTGTGAAGCAGCCTTTGGATGGAAGTCAGTCTGGCATGTTTCAGGGTTAATATTTGCCCTCAAGCTGGAATCCACAGGGCAGCACTGGAACGCCTGAACACATGGAAAGCAGGAGCTTGTACTCCAGCTAGGGAAGAGTTGTTGAGTTTTATTGATGCTAATGGCTTTCCATTGGGACAGAGGTAGGAAGAGAACAGAGAAGCTGATCTGAACCAGGGTAGAAGGAAAGGATGGCTTATGTGGATTGTGTTTTATTGTTGGTTTTGCCTCTGAGAGTCTCCGCTCAGCAACTTTTTGTGTCAGAAGGTTTTAGTTGTTTCTGTAATGCTATTAACATGGGTACTAATGTCAGCGTACAAAGTGCTTTACAAGTTTCCTAAGTGCACACCTGGGAGAGATCCAGAGGGCTGGAGAGCCAGCCTTGCGTAGCGGTTAAGCGTTAAGAGCCCAAGTTCAGGTGGAGGATAGGCGAGCGATATAAACTGCTTTAGGTCCCCACTGGGATGAAGGGCATGCTATAAATTAAGTAAATAATGAATAAAATAAATTTTAAATGTAGGGTAGATCTAGGGAGGAGAGAAAAAGGTAAGGGGGAAAAAATTCAAAGTGAGCAAAAACTATTAACTCTTTTTATTCCATCCCTCCTCCAGGGAGCTCACATGGTTCTCTCTCCCTTCCCTCCTGTTCTTGTATCATCCCCAGGCACCACCGTCCCAAGGTCACCCAGTGAGTTTTTAACATGGAGTGGGGATTTGAGCCTGGATCTCCCAGGTCCTAATCCACCGCCACTGCATCTTGTTGTGGGACAAATATGCAACTGCAGAGAATTACAGTTAAGGTTGAGGCTTTAGGACTGGTGTGAGTCACAAAGCTGACACCCTGTAGGCCAGAAATCCAGCTTGCCCCCTTGTAAAGTGCAGCAGATCTGAGTGCCACAACTGCGGTTCCATCCATAGTCCTCTCAGGAGGAGGGCCAAATTTGACCCAGGAGCGTGCAGTATCTGCTGACCCTGCAGTTCACCAGTGCAAGCTGTAAATTGTCTCTCGCCCGGCGATTAGGGCAGGAGCTGTGGTTGAGCAGTATTGAATAAGTGCTTTAAACCATTTGACTTGGTCTAAGGCAGACTCATATGTTCATACTTCTGTGGGAGGAAGTATTGATCAGTGCCCTAAATCCAGTCCCTGGCATCTCCGCTGTGAGAGTCTAATATATCCAGTGTTAAGGAAGACTTTTGCTTGAGGACCCGGTGAGCCGCTGCCAGTGGTGGCCAGTACGGAAGTAGATGAACCTGGTGGTCAGGATAAGGCAGTTTCAGATGTCACTGAGGTAAATGTTTCCACGAAGGAAGCTTACAGAATTTAGTTTCTTTTCTTAGCAACTTTTCTGGACTCTTGTGTCCCCAGGCTGTGACAATAGATGCATTGTAGCTGTTGCAACACCTAGTTGTAGCAAATGGCGAAGGGGAGGAATGGCTGGTTTTCAAGGGGATGCTGAAGCTTCCTCCCTCTCTGTCTGAACCAGGGTAAAAACCTGATTGAGCTGAGGGTGGAATTCATCCAGTCAAGAAACAATGAATTTCATGGGCTCATCTGGGCTTGAAGATGATGAGGAAGGATAAGATTGTTTTTTAAAGCACTCAGAGTACCAATTGAGCTATGTAAATGATGGATAATAATCAAGGGGGAAAAGGTGAAGGTCGTGAGTTTCACAAAGGTATACTTAGAAGCAATTTGTGACCTCTTTTGTCACATCCGCTTCCGTTTCTTCCCAGGTCTCGTGCACCCAGCCAGAGAGCAGCGGCAAGCCGACAGCAGAGGAGATGACCTCCAAGGATTACTATTTTGACTCTTATGCTCACTTCGGCATTCATGAGGTGAGGGAGCCGGCTCGGGCATGGGGTTATAAAGGGTCTCCTTGCCTGTGGGAGGGGGTGGTGGGAAGCAGGAGGCTGTAAGATTCGCTCACCGGCATTCCTGCCTCTTGCTCTCCCAACTGGAGATGCTGAAAGACGAGGTGCGCACGCTGACCTACAGAAATTCCATGTTTCACAACCGGCACCTCTTCAAAGACAAAGTGGTCCTGGATGTTGGCAGCGGGACCGGGATCCTCTGCATGTTTGCAGCCAAGGCTGGTGCCAAAAGGGTCATCGGGGTGAGTGGCAAAGTCCTCTTTGTGTGTGTGCCTATTGGTCTCTATTCCTAGGAGGTGGTAGGCTGACTTGGGTTCTGTGAAAAAACTTGGGAAATTGTGGGGGGGGTGTTGTGTGTGTGTGTGTGAATTTCTTGATCAATTAGCTCGATTTTGCAACCAAAAAAACATAATTCTGCTGTGGGTACAGTGATGCACGTTGAGCAAGAGAGTTAGGATACAGTAACGCATGTTGAGCAAAAGAGTTAGGTTACATGCTTTGCTTAATTCCCACCCAACCCCCGAATCAGGATTTGGACATACCAAACCAAACATAGCAAACCTCCTAGCTGTTCTCCAGGGCCTTGGGCAGAGAAGAGTGTCTTCTAGCACCTGCCCCCCGGCATCCTTTGAGAGGCCAAGGATTGAACTCTGGACCATTGCTGAACCCACTGAGCAACAGCTCCTCCTCTGACGATATGAGCAAACAAAGCTGCCTTATACCACATTGGACTATTCCGATCCTTCTAGCTCAATATTTTCTATTGTAGTAAAAGCTCTTAATTACCTGAGTGGAACAGTATTTGGTGAAGGAGGGACTCGTGAGTAGACTTCTTGCTGGATGAGTAAGCAAATGCAGGAAGGAAAGCTTTACTTCTTGCATGTTGCTTCAGCATATGTTCTCCAGAGAAGCCAGGCCCATGTAAGGAGAGCCAAAATGCTGTAGTGGATAGAACGTTAGGCTAAGAACTGGCAGGCTCGGGTTGGAATCCTCACTCTTCCCTGGTAGCTCGCCGCATGACCTTTAGCACACATTCTCAGCCTAACCAGCCTCGCAGGATTCATGTGGTGATACAATGGACAAGAGGAGAAATTGTGTAAGGTGCTTTGAGTCCCCATTGGGTAGGAAGGTGGGGTATAAATAAAGTAAATAAAGAATTGTTAAGAGCTGGGCTTGAGCCAGGGGGACCTAGGTTCTAGCTCCTGTTCTGCCATGAAGCTCACTAAGTGACCTTGGCCCAATCGCTCTCTGTCTAACCCGCCTCACAGAATTGTTGTGAGGATCAAATGGGAAGGAAAGGGGAGGATGTGCATATTATTGCCTCAAACGTCTTGTAGGAGTGGTGGGACACACAAAAAAAATCTAAACGAGACCTTTCTCTTTTCTCTCAACAGATCGAGTGCTCCAGCATATCCGACTATGCCGTCAAAATAGTCAAAGCCAACAAACTCGACCATGGTGAGCATCTGCTTGACTTAACCCGCACTGCCAGTTATCTCTCCCCTTCTGCATCATTCACCCGTAGAAGAGCCATTTCCCTCTAGATTCTCCTCTCCCTTAGAGCAGAGGCAAGGGTAAAATTTCCACACGGTCTTGTGACTTTAATCCGAATTGTGCAAAGGAAGGCTTGTGCGCCTGTCGTCTTGCACTGCTAGTAATTGCTCCGATCAGGCCAGAGGGACCCCTCTGGTTTGTTCCCTTGTTCAGCTGTCCTTGCTGGACTGTCCTTGCATCTCCATTCTGTGCTAGAATGCCTTTTCTTTCCTGTCCCCCACAGTGGTGTCCATCATCAAGGGCAAGGTGGAGGAGGTGGAGCTGCCTGTGGAGAAGGTGGACATAATCATCAGCGAGTGGATGGGCTATTGCCTCTTCTATGAGTCCATGCTCAACACCGTCATTTACGCCCGCGACAAGTGGCTGGTGAGTTCCCCCTCCTGTGTCCCCTTTTGCCGCTAGGAACTCCTGGATCCAGACCAGTCTCTCTTGACAAGGAGAAGGTCTGCGTATTTCCATATGCTGATAATGGGCCAAAAAATGGCAGATCTCACCTGCCTCCCTTGAGTACAGAGACATCACACGGCAGTGGAATAAGTCGCCCCCTTGGCCATTTTGTAACATCTAGGATCGCAATTGACTCAGTTGGACAGAAAACCAAAATCAGAATTCCCTGTCCCATCTTGACAACTGCTAATCTTGACAACTGCCGCCCTGAGCCCGTTCGCGGGATGGGCGGGATATAAATATAATAAATAAATAAATAAATAAATAATCAACTGGCCTCACCCCTTTGTGGATGATGAAAGTTGCACCGTATGACCCCCCCAAAACACAGACCATGTAAGGAGGTCTCTACCTACTTGGTGACTCTTCAGAAGTGCAGAAAAAGGACTTTGTATGTTATTCAAAAGAAGATAAATCCCCAAAGCAGCCTGAGTATCCTCCAGGGGAGGCTCAAAATGTTGAGCGCGGTCAGGTCAGTTGAAGTGGAAAGAAGATGGGGCAGAAGAAATCAGCCTGCTCAAACCCCCTTTTGGGGAGGGATGAGGTGACATTTCCATATTCCTTATTGGGCTCCCATCCTTCCTATCCTAGCTGTTTTCAGAACTGATAATGAAACATGGTGTAGTGTGATATGATGTTTCAACCATCCACCATTCCGAAAAGCCGTTTCTCTATGGTTTATCAGCTCTCTAGTACTTCACAGAGGCCTTTAGTCGTGATAGGTAAATGGGACCTCCATGTCCAGATGTAATATTACTCTGAGCATGATGGGGGGCTAATATGAGGGCCGATGCCTTCATTTCCTGCTTGTGGATTTCCCGGGGGCATCTAGCTGGAAACAGATGCTGGGATAAATGACCCAGCCAGTCTGCTGCGGCACTGTTAGCTACCTGCGAACCCATGCTTAGTGGAGATGGAGCCTTTCCACCATTGAGTGAAATGGGTCAGATGAAGAACGATGTCACTTCCTGTGGGGATGCTCTGAGCTGGCACTGAATTCAACTCCATACAATAGTGCAGAGTGGTACTGTGGTAGCCCTAGCACTATCTTGCCTTCACGTGAACAAATGCAAATAGAGCCTAGGGTCATTTTCTCTAGGAATTATGAGATTGGCCCTCTTGGGAGTTGCACAGAGAGTTGACAATGAAGTGTACTGACGTAAGTTGGTTTGCAGCTGGCCAATGCTGGCAGTAAAGCATTGGTGTGCACCTTCCTCTTTTATGTAGGTGTGAGCTGCGGTGGCTCAAGTGGTTAAGACACTGAACTGTAGGCTGTGGAAGGTCAGTAGTTCAGCAGTTCGAGACCCGGGTGCCGCATGACGGAGTGGGCTCCCATCTCTAGTTCCAGCTCCTGCCAACCTAGCAGTTCGAAACAAAGAAATTGCAAGTAGATAAATAGGTACCACTCCGGTGGGAAGGTAACAGCGTTCTGTACGCCTTGGTGTTTAGTCATGCCGGCCACATGACCACGGAAACGTCTTCGGATAGCGCTGGCTCTTCGGCTTTGAAGCGGAGATGAGCACCGCAACCCTAGAGTCGGATTCGACTGGCTTTCGAGCAAGGGAACCTTTACCTTACCTTTTGAACAACTACTGTAGTCCAAAGGTGTACCATGTTGTCATTTTAAAAGTTCACTTACGAATATGGATTCCCCCCCATCATTTTAAATCCAAGTGAGGTTTGAATGGAGGCACTCCTACCCCACTATTTTACTCCTTGGAATCAAATGCTGCAGCCTCCTCTCTTGGTCTGGGCAGTGAGACTTGGGTGGCACCGGCTGAAGCTTGTTGGGTTTTGGCAGAGAAAAGGGCCGCTTGGCACTTCAGAGGATCCTGTCTGATGTAAGACTTTTGTCTCCTCTTTGTGTCCCAGACTCCTGATGGGCTCATATTCCCAGACCGGGCTACTCTGTACATCACAGCGATTGAGGACCGGCAGTACAAAGACTACAAGATCCACTGTAAGTAGCAAGGGGTTCCGCAGTGGTTTGCCACGTGGAAGGCCAGGCTCAAGAATCTTTTTTTTATTCCCACTGTGGGGCTGTCCTCTGACAAAGAGGACTAAGACCTGCTTCACACTCTCAGGGAAAATAGATGGCAGCCGGGACTGCTTAATTTCAGGCCGAGAATCAGAGATCTCCTTGACAGGCTCACACAGCGGTTCTTTGGTAAACAGATAGATACGGAAAGGCAGAAAGCTAGAAAACCTCTACCGTAGCCCAATACCGTCGGGGCAACAAAGTCATTGGCTGGTTTCCCTGCTTTTTTCTCCTGTTGAATGTATGTTCCACAGTGAGTGGTGGGAATAGTTGGTGGCCCCAATTGGGTAGAAAGGCAGGGGTATAAATGTTGTGAACAAAAGAGTTCGTCTTGGCCTCTAAATCTAGGTCCCCCCCCCAAATAATCTTTGCCTCTTGCTGCAGGGTGGGAGAACGTGTACGGCTTTGACATGTCCTGCATCAAAGATGTGGCGATCAAAGAGCCTTTGGTGGATGTCGTTGATCCGAAGCAGTTGGTCACCAACGCTTGCCTCATCAAGGTATGACTGACGGTGCTGTCTTCGCTTTCTGGTGGTGTCCTCAGTTGCTACTGCTAAACACAGGGCCTGTGAAAAGTAGTTTCTATACCGGTCATAAACCCTTGTTCCGGTGCAGTGTGCCTCCCTCTATAGAGCATGCACGCTTCAGTAGGCTGACATAACCAAAAGGCTTCAGCACTTTCCATGTGGAAGCAGGGGAGATGATTACCTCCGCTGTTTTCAGTCTTTCAGCTTTGCCACGGCTGCCTGCACTGCTGAGGCCATTCAAGGCGAGCGAGGTGCGGAGGGTCTTCCTGTCTCAGTCTGGCTTTCATTACCCCAAGCAGACTGGGCCTTTAGTTGTTAACGGTGTACCCCGGCACA